TGCTAGCGATTCAATGATTGAGAATTATTAGATTAAAAAAATACATTGATATCACAATTTGAATAATTGATTATTAATTAATAATAATTTTGATATAGTTGACGGGTGTGATGATAATATCGGTTGGCTCTACAATCTATGCCGTTTATGAAGATTTCTCCCATTTCTTGGATACCAGATATTTCTCACCAGCCACGCTCTTGATCATAGTTGGTATATTAGTTTTTATAATTGCCTTCTTTGGATGTTGCGGTGCTCTTCGAGAAAGTACTTGCATGGTTCTTGTGGTAAGTATATTATGCTAATATTATTTCTAAAAAATTATTAAATATAATAAAGAAAAAAAAAACAATTGAACAAACTTGTACAAGTATATAGATAATATACTTACATATTTTCTTTTTTCTTTTTCCTAGTTCGCAGTTTCTTTATCCGTTGTCTTAATAATGGAATTGTCTGCGGCGACTGCAGCATATGCATTACAGGACACCGTGCAAGATCTTTTGGAAAATAATATCAACAGTACGATGCACGAATACGGTAATAATGACGAAGTTAAAAGTGCAGTTAATTTCATGCAGTCCAGGGTAAGATTTTGACAAATATAATTATAAGATTCGACTTTGAATCTATAAATAAAAAAGAACACGAATTAGTTCACATATTTTTTTTCTTTTTATACTATATATATATATATATATATAATAAACGTTTAATTAAAAATTAACGTGTTCTTTACAGTTACATTGCTGTGGTTATACAAATATGTCCAACTGGTATGACATTAATTTTGAACAAGAAAACAACCTTAAAATACCTAATTCCTGCTGCGATATACTACAAGTGGAGAATAATTCCAATATTTGTACCTATCCTTATAAAATAGGCTGCATGAACAGACTTTCAATTATAATTCATCGCAGTGCACTTTACATTGCTACAGGAGCTGTGGCTATTGCTCTTATTCAGGTAAGTTGATGTTGAAGAAATATTTAAAGAGAGAATCTATATATGCTATGTTTATTACAAATTATAATGCATAAATATAATTTTTAAAAAGATTTACCACGTGCATTGTGGCGTTCTAATGATATAATATATTTCGATGAATTTTTCGGTGAAATATATTTTCATTTTTTTCAGTTGACTGGTATAGTATTCGCATGTATGTTGGGCAGAGCTATCAGACGACAGAAGACAGAAAGAGAAAGGCGTAAATGGGAATTGAGAGAAAATATCGTGAATGGTTATCAACCACTTGGAAAAACAGATCCATTGACAACTTTCCCTGTTGTATACATGCAGTCTCCGGACTATCCATTGAAAGGGCATGCAACCTGTTAGTCTTATAATTTCCATTCGATATGAAAGATGTGAAATATGTTATTTTTGTGCCATTGCAAAGATATATCAAAAGGACGATCCTTGATGATCGCTCCTCGATTTTATCCTACAAAATAAAGAAGTCAGTATTTTTTATCAGTTGTCTATTTTACAATAAACATTTGACTTTCTTCGTACTTATTTATTTTTTCTTTTTATTTTTTTTTGTTTTTTTTTTGTTTTTTTTTTAAATCGTAAGATCAACGAAAACTTGCACAAATATAATTTCTAGTAGTAGTACTGTATAAATTGTCGATTGATTATTATTATATTAGACTACAACTTTTTTGTTTATTAAGAATGAGAAAGTATTTTAATAATTAATATATATGCATATATTTTTCATCGTGAGATTAATTTAATGCGATACCAAAGTTTATATTTAATAATAATCTATTAAACAATTTAATAAAATATAAATCATCTTTTACTTTGAATCACACAAATTGTAAATATATAGAAAGAGAATAGAATTTTTATTACAGATTAATATTCGTTAAAATTCTTTCAGACTTATTTCTTTGCCAATAAAACTATAAATATAGCAGTATTATTTCACAAAATTAAAGAACTATTATGGGAAAATCTTGTTTAATATTATAATATTAAAATTTTGATGGTATTCTTGTATAAGAAATATTGTACTTAATTCGTGAATAAATTTTTTTCTACAACTTATTCATGTTTACAACCATCATGCCATTAGTTTGTAAAGGAAATAAAGAAAAAAAAAAAATAAGAATTGATACGTACTGTATCAAAATTGCCACTATAAAATTTTTATTTAAATTGTCCTGCTTTATGTTCGGTACTTCTTTTGTTCTATTTATGGTTATATTCCATACTGCATGACATTTCAAATGGAATGATAAAAATGCAATGGATATTGCATTACAGTTAAATTGTGTAAACATGATATTAGTGGTATTATTTACTTTTTACCAAAAATTATTTGCTTTTTCAAGAATTTCCGATGCTTCCTTTTCATGTTTGCCATTTTCAAGATATGGTGGAGTTAATTCTCTATAAGCAAGACAGACACGTCTTGATGTTACATCTTCTCGAAGCACAGAGTGTTCCCAATTATACCTACAAAAATAATCATGTTAATAAATAATAAATGCGTTAACAATATTACATTAAACTTTTATGGAATATACCTTGCAAGTCCATATAAAATCATCAATGATCTTGCTGGCATAGGTAAACGTATTACCATGTCTTGTTGTATTTCTATTTTTTTATCAATTTTAGAATAATTTTCTACATAATCCAGATTGTAACGTCTAATCGATTCGGTATAAGGTGTCATTGTTAATACAGAATCACCTAATACATTAACCGTAACTATACGCTCTCCCCATATCCAACAATCATCTATATGAGGATCTATAGAAGCTCCTCGTTTTGGATTGTATTCAAGAGTGCATTGTTCTACTGTTCTAAAATTATTTAAAAGTGAAATTTCATTGAACTTCTTCTGTACAAATTCTGTAGATTGTGGAAATCCATTAAAGGTACCTAAACGTAATTTTCGTTTCTTAAAATTACACTTTGGACCAAAATTCTGAAAGTTAACGTTTGAGAAGTTAGTAGAAACAATGATATTTCTATTAACTATAATTAATCTCATCACATACTTGTTTTCTTCTACCACTTTGCGATGGTTCCCATGGTAATTCATCTAACGACTTCATCAAAGTCAATGTTTCTTCTGTATTTAAAAAATCAAGCTGCAAAAAAGAAGATTCATAAAATAATAGAAAATGAATTAATGAATTCAAATTAAATTTAATAAATTGAAATTACTTTAATAAAAACACCTGGATAATCTATCGCATGTCCTTTATGATGAGGATGTTGCTTGTACAATTCTATATCCCATCCAGCCCATGCTTTATCGCAATGCGGACAATAAACATAAGAGGATTTTTCCTAAAATTACAGAATCATTAGAATTGAATTTATAAAAAGATATACTTGATATTGTAAAATATATTAAACTGGAATACATTTATACAATATATATATATATATGTATATAAAAGAAAGTTAATCGAAAAAAGATATAATACAATTACTTTTCAATCTTTGCTAGTAATTGCTTACTTGTAACTTTTCTTTCAAATTCGGTTTTGTTATGTTAAATTGTTCTTCGCAAATCAAACATGTACGAATTCCTTTACAACCACATGGACGTACGGTCTCCATTTTTTCATAAATACACGTTTCTCAATACAAGTTATCATGAAAAACAACTTTAAGTAAAAAGTGAGGTTAAGAAATCGAAGTCAAAGGTTAGGTCATTTAATACAAACATTATATATATACAATAACGTCATGAAGATATTAAACGATCAATTTGAAACGAACAATTTATGTGATTCTATAAATATCGAGTGTATTGTAATTTGAAAAACAAAGTGTAAGATAACAAATTAAAAATATTGACAGTTCACTTCTTTCACTATGTTCAGTTTTATATCTAATTTCAACTTCTAAATAATTAATTAGTTTCAATGGATATTATTTAAAATTATTATCGTACGTTTAACAATGTTCTTTTTCAATTTGACGATGAGCGAAGATCAACTTCCAAGAAATCTTTAGTATTTTTTATTTGAAATATTTCTTGAAATATTTTCTTATCAGTGAGGTCGTGAACTTTGGTATATCAAACTTTGCATATAACCCTTTTAATTTTCTATCTCTCATTATATACAAGTAGTCTTATTTACCCGAGGATTACTTTAACTGTGACTTTGATATATTAACGAACGGGAATATAATCAATACGGGAAGAAAATAACAGGAAGTGAAAAAAACAAAAAATGCTTATTAGATTGTTAATAATTTGTGTGATATTTCATATGTCCGTTGCCGGTAAGTAAGGAACCGTACGTTTGATTGTTAAAATATGCTTGAACCTAATGAAGGAAAAATAAAAAAAGAAAATAAAAAAAAAAAATGTAAAAAAAAGAAAAGAAGAAAAAAAAGAACTATTGCATTATTTTTATTAATTAATTATATATTAATTATTAATTGATATTATACTTTTCAACGATTTTTAGATGAGGATTGTCCTAAAATATTATCTAAGGCCGCATGGGGTGGAAAAACTGAGAAAGGCATAAATTTTCTTATAATACCATTATTATACGTAATAATACATCATACTGTAACACCTGAATGTACGACCCGTAAAGAATGTTCAGCAAGAGTACAATCGATTCAATCTTATCATATGGATACATTAGGTTGGCACGATATTGGCTTTTCGTAAGTTCTTTTGTTTTTATTTCTTTTAATTTTATTATTATTACTTTTGTTGATTTTGTTTTTTTTTGCTTTCACTATATACGATGAGATTACATGGCCTTTAGCATGGTCACCGCAATAACGAGATCCCGTGACCCCAAAAGCTTGTATATTTTATTTGCGAATAGTTTTAAAAATTTCAATATTGCTTTTGACAATACTTTTATTTGACCTTATATATTACACAGTATAACTATATCGTCCCTCATAAACTATTTCTGAATGTAAAACGAAATTACAACGATATGTTATGTTAAACATATCTTTTATAATAAAATATTAATATGTAATATAAACTTATTAATATAAATTAGTATAAATTAATGTGAATATAAGAATTGTTATTGGATTAATTATAAATATTGACCATATATTTATGAAATATTGACAAATTACTATATTTAGAAATATTTTCATTAGAATACTGATAGCATTTTTTTTTTTAATTAATTCATGAAATATTGATCGCTTATATTACGTATTGATATTTTATATATTTATATTATTGATATCTTAAATCAATAACTGATCATTTATTTAAAATATTAATTAAAAATGTGAAAAAAATATTGATCTCATCAAATGGACAGTGAAATATATATTTTATTTGACTTTTTTTTTGTTTTCGCCATTGCGAAAGATTTAATAATATTTTTTAATCAAATTTTTGATGATAGTTTTTTAATCGGTGGCGATGGTAATATTTACGAGGGTACAGGATGGACGAAGGAAGGTGCCCATACCTATGGATATAACAAAAAATCTGTAGGCATAGCTTTCATTGGTAACTTCGAAGGTACGCCAGCAAATTTTCAATACGAAATATTTGATAATAGCTTAATTAAGAGATTTGAAAGAAAGGATAAGTTCAATTGATCTTTATATTCTTTCTTTTTTATTTTTTATTATTTTTTTTTTGTTTTAGACAAAGACGCAAGTGACAAAATGTTGAATGCGGCACACAAATTGATCAGATGTGGTGTTTCCCAAGGTGTACTACGTGAAAATGTTCGTGTGATCGCTGCTCGACAAGTACGAGCAACAGCGAGTCCTGGATTCAATTTATACACACAAATTCAAAATTGGCCCGAATGGAGTCAACCTTAACATAATCTAAGTAATATATTTGATTGATAAGTCAAATTTTGAAAAAATATCAATTAACTAAAATGTCATGTTATTAAAGTTTTTTCTTTTTTTTCTTTTCATTGTTTTTTAATGTTTTACGAATAAAATATATATACGAATAAATTATATGTAAAATATATGTATAAAGCTATTCATTACTCCTGGTTTCATAATGATATAGGCTAACAATGGATCTTGGTTTAATTCTTAATCGATTTTAATGAACAAGTATTTTTAAAAGCATTTTAATAATGAAAAAACCTATTCAATCTCAAAAGTAATCGTGTCAGAAAATAATATTTCTTTGAGAATAGTTTACGCATAAAAATAAAATTTTTTACAATAATTCGAAAAATCCTCCCTTAAATAATTCATTTTTGAAATGAAATCATGTTAATCAAAGACGATAAATAATTACGATTGAACTCAATGTTGACATAAAAGTATTTTTCGTTATTTTTCGTGAAAAAAAAATCTCGTATAGCGCTACTTCTTAAGCTATTATGGCAAAATGTCGGTAATGGTGGAACGCAATTTTATCGAATGAGTAAAAAATCGTCGATAATAGCAAAATCCAGTTTATCGATTAAATAAAAAATTATCAATATTTTGTTCCACATCATTATTGTTATTATTATTATCGTTATTATTATTATCTTCAAGATTATATTCATAGATATAGGATTCTATAGGATATGTTTTCGTTGTAAGATATTCTTATAATATACTTTCAATGAGATCTCGTGCGAGTATATTGCATGTGCATAGTTCACTGTAATAGACATGACAAGTTAGTCATAACAATACATATTTTTTTTTCTATAAATACAAGTTGTATGGTTAATAAAGTCATATATATATATCTCATAAGACGCGTCGAGTTATCACGTCAGTTTCAAGAATTTAATTGAAATGATTTTGAAGATACATTAAAATATGCAGTCATTCGTACAGTAGAATATGCTTCATATTATCTAGATATAGATCGCAAGTAATATAGACTTTTCCGAATTATTGATAGAGCTTTATTTTTATGCGTAAACTATTATTCTAGAAGAAGCATTATTTTTTGTATGCGATATTTTTTCAAAGAAAATAAAACTTTTTAAAAGATTCATTAAAAAAAAAAAAAAAAAATTAATTTTATCTTAATCCATGCAAGGGATACAAATTATTAGAACGACAATTATAATGAAATTAAAAGTAATACTCATTGTCGTAATAATTGTAAAAGTAATATTGAATTTTTCTAAAAATATAAATCGAACGAGATGACATTTTATTATTATTGCCATTACTTTCTTTTCAAACGTTTCAAATGAATTAATTAAACATTTAATAAAAGACAAATATTTCATGTTTAAAAACATTAAAAAAAAACAAAAAAAAATTTCACTTAAACAACTAGCAATATTAATCCGAAAATATAAATAACAATACTTAATTATACTTAAATATATTTATTGTTCGATTTGGAGGTATGTACTGCGCACACAGATCGCTATTACAACAATTCTTTTCATTACAGTGCAAACACTTTCTTATCAATCTTAACTAATATTACGTACGTATTCTCATCTCCGATCATCCTTTTTAAATAACAAATGCAAAAAGTGTTTCTTTTTTCTCTTTTAACGAATCGTGAAAATTGAAAGATTTGGCCAGGCGGACTGTGGGAGTGGGAGGTTGTGGGAGGATAGAGCAGGCGCGATCGTATATGTGAAATTAAAATGATCGGTGTGTTAAAAAAAAAAAAAAAAGAAAAAAAAAATTACATATACACTTCTATCGTTTCGAAGCTTCGAAAACGATATTTATTTTATTACATTTTCAATTATCTTCTTTTTTTCCCCCTTTTGTTTCAATTTTCTCGGAGAGGACTAGTCACAGAAATAAATAAATAAATATATACATACATAAAAGAAGGGTTTATGGATTATTCTAAGGCCTCGGTTTCGAACTTCTAAGCTATATCTATTAGATATATCGCATAATAACGATACGTAGGTCAATATTCGTTTCTAGGTTTCATTTTATATATACGTATAAATGTGTATATATATATATATATATATTATACATATACATATATACACATATATATACATACACATATATACATATACATATACATATACATATATATATATATGTAGATATATATATATGTATGTATTCATATATACACATAAATATGTATATATAATTAGAGACTTGAAAATCGGAAGCAACATTTGTGGTCAAATCGGTACTTTTACTAATTGTCACATTTTGAGTTAAAATTATGTACGAAACGATTGTTGTTTCTGTATTTTATATCTCATCGTATTTTCAATGGAAAAACTAATACGAATTGTGCATTGATTTTATTTTTTATGCTTGATGTAATTACTTCATATATTTCTGTGATATACGATTGTTTAAATTCGTAGAATATCCACTAAATTTAAATAAATCAAAAAGAAAAAAGAAAAGATAAAAGGAAAAATGAAAACAAAAGAAAAGGAAAGACGAAAAGAAATTGAGAAATTTTTTAAAGTACAAAAAATAAAAAAGGATTCAAGATGATCGTCGCGATGAACGTTGTATCGAATTGAAATAATTATTAATATTTAATCTAATAATTAATGTTATCTTTAATGATAATGATCTTTCGATCGCGTTAAAAATGAAATAAAAAGAAAAGAAAATTATTTCTAAAAAATTTGAAAAAGAGAAAAAGAGTAAAAAAGAATTACGTTTCTCGTGGATTCTACGTTTTTAAATCCTCTTTACAAGTCTCCCATTGATCATGACATATTTTTCATTTCATTAAGTTCGCTTGTGCCGCATAGTCTGTTTTATTACATTAATTAATTAATTTATTTATTTTCATTTTCATTTCCAGTTCTCGTGATATATAGTTTTCTTTTTCGTCGATTTTTTTCCTATTTTTCTTCTCTCTCTCTCTCCCTCTCTCTCTCTCTCTCTCTCTCGCGCGCTCTCGATATCTTTTCGCTTTATACGCGAAAAGTAACGAAAAAAAGAAAAAGAAAAAGAAAAAGAAAAAGAAAAAGAAAAAGAAAAAGAAAAAAGAAAAAACAAAACAAGACGAAGATGAAGAAAAAGAAATTAATTCATTAAAATATAACACTGGAGAAGGAATTAGAAAAGAATATTACTAATAGTAAGGAGAAGAAAAAGAAAAAAGAATTCTTTTTAAATAAAAAATGAAAAAATGAAAAATGAAAAGAAAAGGAAACGATAGTTATCAGCCTACAAAAAGGTATTAGTCGAAGTAATTCTTTGGTTATAACAATGTTTCATTACGTTCATTTGTTTTTTTTTATTTTCTTCTCTTATTCTAAGCAAAAGATTTGTTCGTTAGGCCATTTCATCGCAGGTAAATCCAACGAAAAAAGGAAAAAAAAAAGAAAAAAAAAAAAAGAAATAAAAAAAGAAAAAATAGATATATATATATATAATATATAGAGAAGAATAAAAGTAATGAAAAATGAAAAGTTTAGACGAACGGTAGTAACTCAGATTTATGTTTAAGATTTCCAACATAATTTATTATACTTTGTACGTTTTATGTACAAGGCTCCATTTTTTTGTCGGTTATTTTTTTCTTCTTTCTGTTCCTTTGCTTCTCTCTCTCTCTCTCTCTTTCACTCTCTCTCTCTCTCTCTCTCTCTCTTTCTCTATCTATCTGTCTTCTCTCTCTCTCTTTTTTTTTTCTGTTAACATTAAACATCCGACACTATAATACATTTGTTTGCCTTCATACATGAAATAGTAGCGACTAAATATTGAAATAAAATTGAGAATAAATTAAGAATAATAAAAAGAAAAAGAAAAAGAAATGAAAGAAAGAAGGAATTAGAAATAAAAAGTGGAGAAAGATTCGAACGGCATTTTTCCGTAATTTGTTTTTTTTTTCTTTTTTTTTTTCCATTTTCGTTTTCTTTTTTTTTCTTTTTTGTAATTTTTCCAAACGCATACACAATATTAAACACGACTCGATCGAATCGTGATGCTAAATGTACAATCTTCAATATACAAAGAGTGACAATAGCATCGATAATTCGATTGGTTCTGTGTTTTGAATAAAATATATTTCTATATATGTACTTATGTACATAAGCATGCATATGTACATACGTACGTACATAGATACATACGTTCGTCATTGCGAGTATGAAACAGATGAACATAAAAAATACTCAAAAGAAAAATAATACTAATAATAATAATAATAATAATCATAATAATAATAATCATAATAATAATAATCATAATAATAATAATAATAAAAAAAAAAATAATAATAGTAATATAATAAAAATGAATTAAAAGAGAGAAACGGAAAGAAAGAAAGAAAGAAAAAAAAAAGAAAGAAAAAAAAAGAAAGAAAAAAAAAGAAAGAAACAAAAGAAATGAGCAAGAAAAGAAATTAGCACAAAAAAAAAAAAGAAAAAAGATCTAAGAGAACAAAAAAAGAATCGTAATATTTTGTGCTTTGGAAAAAAAAAAAAGAAGAAAAAAATCGTTCTCGCTTCATCAAATTTTTTAAAAACTCATCATCGTTGTCCCCGTCGTCGTCGTCGTCGTCATTGTCGTCGTCATCATCGTGACGTCGTCATCGTCAATAATAAAATTATAGTTATAACCTTAATTCTTTTTTGAAATCACATGTTAACCTGTTTTATGATAAATTCGCGTTTTCCTAACTTACTAGCGGTAAAACTTTATCCTTATATACATTAATATGAGCAGCCTTCATTTTTTCACAATATATCTTTTATGCCATCAGTTAGATGTGATCGATGTGATCACCCTAGTGTTTAATTTGTGGCACGCCATTTTTTATTATTTACGTTGGTATCATCATGATCATCATCATCATCATCATACGGATATAGAATTATATTGCTCTCCTACAATCATCGAATACATAACAACTGATCGATGAATTTTTTTTATTTTTCTTTTTTCTTATTTTTCTTCTCGTTTACTCGACACATTCTTATTAGAGACTAAAAGATTTTCGCTATGATCGTTGATCGATTACTAAAAAGGATCATACGTTCCGATAAGGAGGATTATTTTATCAGGAATCTACTAATTAATGCTTCTTAAAAGTATTTAATACTTTGCTGTCCGATCGCAATTTTCTTTTCTTTTCTTTTTTCTTTTTTTTTTTCTTTCTTTCTTTCCTTTTCTATTTTCTTTGGCGTATCGATAATCTATGTATTAATTTGAACGATATTTTGTTTTAAGTTAAATTTTCAATGATAAATTAAATCAAGATGAATAACCATATGTATTCAAGTATACAAATTATATGTCTCCGTTAATCGGAAAGAAAATATTGTTTGAAATCGAAATGTCGGACTGCAAAGGATTAAGTATTTATCAAAAAATAAAATATGTATATATACATAAGACATACATTCGAATCCGGTCGATGATTGAAAATTAAGTGTCGCAAAGATGAAAGCAATGCGATGTGTTTGTAATAGCACGAGTAATGTCCAATATGTTTTAATCGGACATGCAAACGAACGAACGAATGAACAAATGAACGAACCAACCAACCAATGAACGAACGAACGAACAGAACCATTTTGTTTTCACCAATGTACCAATTCACCCATTAATCCGCTAAAACTTTGACTACGACGTTCGACTCATCGTTAGCTCGACAGCTAATCGAATGGGAACGAAAAGGAAAAAAAAAAAAAATAAAAAAGGAAGGAAGGAAGGAAGGAAGGAAGGAGGGAAGGAAGGAAAAGAGGAAGGAAAAGAGGAAGGAAAAGAGGTAGGAAAGAAGGGAAGGAAGAAAAGATATTTTTTCCTTTTTTTTTTTTTTTTTTTGTTCTTACAAAAGACCACCCTTACGTCCAAAGAAAAGTGAACTAATAGAACCAAGGGCAGATTGAGTAATGGACTCTCTGGTAACTGGTGTTGTAGTATTAGCCGCACCTTTGACTTTACCTAAATCCGATCTAGTTGTTTTACTACCATCACTATCGCGTTTTTGTTGAGTACCTAACGCACATTCGATTATCAATGATCTTACAGGTGAATCTGAATTAGAATTACCAGATGACAAAACTGAAGCACCAACATTATCAACGTTATCATTGTTCATCTTGTTACTATTATTCATATGTTCCAATGTCGGATTTGAACTAGATTCAGAAGAGACGCTAGAAGAGGACGAGGCTAACGAAGGTGAAAATAATCTTTCCTGACTGATGCTGGAAGGCATCGATGTCTTCAGGAAGGTTAGTTGTGCCATTGGACTCTTCATCGAACGTCGTGTATACAAAGCACCCTGAAGTGCCAACGGCGAGATCGACGAGCCGACTGTCGTTGACATTATAGCATCGATTCCTATTCTTTCGAGTTTCTCAACCAAACGTATGCCAGACAATGCTTTTTTCTCTGATCTCGTCAACGATGGTTTTGACGTTCTCGTTCTTTTATTAATTTGCGATTGCGAGGAATCGCTACTGAATGTACGCTTCAATAATTCAGCGCCGCTACTTAGCAGACTAAACGATAGAGAAGTATTTTCTTGCTGTGGGGATGACTGCGGCGGTGGTGATGTAGATCTCGTTGCTGGCGGGCTAGCGTCCGGGCTATTACATGGTGTTGCTGTTGGTATGAAATTTCTTTCGCCGCTGGGTGTCGCCCCACAGGAAGTACCTACACAGGAAGGTGTCACAGCCTTAATTCCTCTCTCATTGAGCATCTTAGCTAGGCCAAGAGTCGTCGAGAACGTCGAGGTAGAATTACTTCGGCTGCGAGTACGAGGACTATTTTTTCCAGAATTTCCAGCGCTACTAGGTGCGGTTGCGACTCGACTACCCACAATACTTGGGGTCACGCTTGTATGTTCATCCGGATGAAGTACCGTGCTATTTGTAAAAGTATAAACTGAGCCTGTATCTTGGAAGAGCTTACCAGGATTCGCGTATTCTTCATCTTCCTCTAAATCCGACAAAGTAAAGGTCAACAAACCAAGATCTTCAAGACCACGCCCACCACGTGTTCTAACACCTGGCCTATCTTCCAATAAACCACCTAAAGTAGGCGTAGCCAATTGTGACCAATGATGTAGGGTTTGTGAACCTTCCATTGGTTTTACAATCTGTAATTTCTCTGGAACTCTCCAAGTATTTCCAATATTACCACTGAAACCGCTCAGATTACCACTGCTACCAGTTGACATTATACTGTCAGGTGTTCGACAACCAAACGGTAAAAATGTTGGCGGTGAATGTAGGATTCCACCATCGTAATCATAGTTATATCCAGCACCAGTACTTAAACATGCTCGTCTTGCTAGCACCTCTGCAGGTGTCAACCGACGTAAAGCTGCTTCCAAATCTGCTGCACCTGGTGCACCAGGTACTCCAATCCTTTGTGGTCCTCTGTAATAAATGGAGAAAAAAAAATAAAATAACACAATCATTAGAAACGATTTTTTTTTTGGTTTCTATTTAAATATCCGTTATAACGTTATGCTATGATACATACGGGTAATCATCAAAATCTGTGAAAAGGGAACCTTCGCTCTCACTGTGCCCAGTCGAATCCAAACTTGTAAAACCGTAAGGTATATTAGGTTTAACTTGGCCACAACTCATGCGTGGACCCATCGAACCACTCGACAAAGTTGACGTTGTCATAGAACCTATTCGAGGAAATTGATTCATATCTGCACTCGTATAAGATGCTCGTGAAGCACAACGGACCGTTTCGAATACTTTCTTGTATGTTGGTCTAAATTAGATTGAAAAAAAAAACAATTCTCATCGTTATAACATATATATATATATATATTTATAAGTATATAAGTAAATAATGAAATGTAACGTACGTTCGATCAGTGATGATACCAGAATCGAGACTTAGCTCCGAATATAATGAAGATTCCAATTCCGAAGCTATCGAATCCGGCTGTGGTGCAGCACCTAACGAAGGAAATAATGATCCACCTCTTACAGTTGGCATGCCGCGTTTTCTTTGTTTACGCAACTGTTCTTGCGTTTCAGAGAGAAGATTTACAACCTAAAAGACGAGAAAATGAGTTCAGTTACATTTTTATTCTTTTCTATTTCTTTTTTTTTTTTTTTTTTTTTTTTAAGAATATTACCGTTGTATTTAGTTATTACTTCATGGTTGAAAACAAAAATGTATAAATTTTCTAATAATACCTCAGCGTATCGTTCCTTGAATTCAGCAAGTTCACTGGCAAGGGTGTTCTGATTATCTCTGGTAATGACTAGAGTAGCTCCGACCTCGTCATGTTCAGCCATGAGTTGAGCTAACCTAAGCTCAGTTTCAGCTAATTTAGCGGTAAGACTAACTATTTGTTCGTGTTGTAACCTATTTTCTTCTTTTTGTCGACCAAGCTCCTCGGCCATACCGTCCGCCTCCATATTAGCATTTGCTGTTAATAATATTAAAAAAAATCGACATTTTTGTTTACTACATTATGGACATTTGTATATTACAAATTTTGTGTTATATATATATATATATATATTTCAATATTTAACTATTGGTAATAAAATAATATTATTAGAACTAACCGAGTTGAGCGGCAATATCCTTTACAAGACGGGCCTCTTGTTCCTCGGTATCATTAGTTTCATGTATCAACTTGGAAAATTCATTACGCAATTGTTTGTTCTCATCTTCCAAGGTACTTATCTTCCTTTGCATCATGTCCAAGTTGATACCACGCAAACCAGTTGGTGTACCACCTTCGGAGCTTGACTCGTCAACATCGTTTGTAAGTATTTGAATGAGTTCGGTTTTTTTGTACAATTCATGATTCAACTGTGTTATCTTTTCGTTTGCCTCTTTCAAATCAGTTTCCAAGGCGTTGACAGTACTCTCAAGTTTTTGATTGTGCGTCAATAATTCCTTACCAATACGCGCGGTCAATTCCAAATCCTTCTCTTTCTACGTGAATATAAAAAAAAAAAAAAACAAAAAAGAAAAAAAAAAATAAAAAAAAAAAAAATAATATACTCTTAATGTTCTGATAATACCAATACGTAATGTGGTTACATTATTAAGTTCTTTTTATTACCTCTTCCAGAAGCCTTGTAACTGCCTCAATGTCATTATAGGTCTTGGTCATTTGGCTCACCCGGTTGCTGCATAGAACTAAAACAAATAATATTTTATTCGTCTTTGTACAATATTATTTATATCATATATAGATATATATGTATGTATAGTATGTATATATGTAACTATGGCACGTATGTCTATGTGTTTATGTACCATTGAATGTGTGTTTATGAAAACATTGAATATTAATATTATATGTATGTACATTGAATTTTACATAAAATAAATCAATTTGTATATAAAATTGCGAAGAGGCTGAAAGAAAAAAAAAAAAAAAAAAAGAAAAAAAAAGAAAAGAAAAGAAAAAATAAATACGTGCAACTTGTGATCTATTGCGATTTAGATCTTACGATCTTATGTTGAGAATTGGAAATGATAGAATGTAATTTATATATTAAAAGTTCAACATACTAGGATAGGATTCTTCTATATATTTGGCGTTCGATTTTTTATTATATATATATATATATATGAATTTATTTTTAAAGTAAAAAATACATATTGTATCGGGAATTTCTTCTTCATCACACCTGAGCATCACAAATAATCGATTTTACTTTAACTATTTATATCAATTATAACGGGTCACCGAGCAATGTTAAATATATCGCTTATAATTATTTAACCTCCCATAAAGAATTTATCAAAACCTATTAATTCATATTATTGTTAAAAACTTTCTATTGTTTTAATTTTTCATATATCATCAATACATTAATTCATTTTTCGTATTAAATAAATCCACGCAAATTCTCTTGAATAAAATTACCTGAACTGTCCAGATTGAACATACTATTTTGATTGTCCACGTTATTAGTGGTAGACGATGATCTTCGTCCACGCATAGTAAATGCACTGAGAGTACGTGATAACATGTTGTAACAGGGAATTCTTACGTGTAGAATTCAAAGAACACTATTAGCTGAGAACAATGGATGAACCATCCCCTTAAGAACTGAGCCAATAATCATGGCTTCTTTATATGTAAACAATGAAGTCACTTATCTCGTCGATTTTTCACATTTTTTTTCATTCCTTCTTTCTTTCTTCTTTTGTTCGATCATACGAATCGATTAGAAAACACATGTTTATTATATATATATATATATCACTTATGAAAAACAATATTAAAAGGAGGATTCTTCAACAGGCAGATCCATGGATCATCGTTAATCGATCTCGAAGAGATTTTTCGTAAGGTATGCTTTAGATATTAGCGATTATATTTTCGTTATTATTTCTATTAAAAAATTCAAATTTTTTAATCGAATCGTGTGCGTGAGTGCGCGCGCGTCCACATCCGCACCCACGCGCTTTTATGAGTGTTTACGAGCACGTAGTAATAAATAATAATATTAACTCGAGACGATACGAGAGAAGGAAAAACTGTTGGTTAACGACGTTTAGATGAACGAATGAAATACCGAAGATCTTAAAAGATTTTGAGCGTTCCCTCCACTCTCGTAGAGAAGTTTATATAGTGGAATACCAGTACCAGTGTACCATCGCCAACCACCAACCATCAACCACTACTATATTACTACCACCACCACCATCACTACCACCACCACCACTACAACCGTGCCGGCAGCATCTGAATTAACTCTTGCAAGCTATCGATCCAGGAGAAACTGAGCCGACTCTGGCGCAGACGCATCTTCTACCTGGCATCATAGTAACTGAGAGAATGCAATCGCACGTGTTGAATGGTTCGCGCGAGCGCAAGAGAATCCACCACACAACACACATGCACACATGTATACGTGTATATTATTATATATTTAAAATTGGTTAATATTTTCGAACTGGTTAGGTTTCTATTTAATTTTTTATCGATTATACTCATTTGGAATTATTTTCGTTCTTTCTTTCCTTTTTTTTATTTTTTTTATTTTTTCTATTCCCCCCCATAATTTTATCATTTTAGAAAAAGTAATTGAATTATTAATCGTTACTATTATTATTATTATTATTATTATTATTATTATTATTATTATTATTCTTATTATTATTATCTGTTTAGTATATTTTTATTTTTTTTCTATACTTTTAGATATATTTATTACAGTATATACTAGATATATAATATATATATATATCAAATACAAATACAAATATCTTTTTCTATAATATATTAGAAATAATAATTATAGTAAAACTACTGTACCTATTATTTCTAATATATATATATTATATATTATAATAAAGAATATTAGAGTTTATATATTATTATATATTATTAAGTTTACACACATACACACACACACACACACACACACTTCTCTGTAATATATTAATTCAATGTATTAATAAAATTAAAAACAAATATTTATCATATACGAATAAATTGAATATACTTCTATTGTAATATATCAATTTTTCAACTCAAATAAAAAATCAACAAGTAAAAAAATTAATTAATGAAATAAAATTCTATCTGAATAATTAATTAATTTATTGTTGTAAATAATCAATTATATTGTTAATATTGATCGAGCAAACGACAAAAAAAAAGAAAAAAAAGAAAAAGAAAAAAAATGAAGATTGATACGTGACATCCATTCGAAAAATATTTTTTATCTTTTGGAATGTTACTTTCGAAAGGAACGCATGTGTAGCCTCCTCTCGAAGGGCAAATAGGTCATTTCACAACGAAGAACGTCATTATCATTTTCTAGAAGGGATAAACCCGTTTAGATTCTTACAACGATTACGACAGAGATCAAGCTTTTAAATGGAAGATCGACTCTCTCCATTAAGATTATATCGAAAACTAGCCCGATGTTTTTCTTCCTATCATTATTATTATTATTATTATTATTATTATTATTATTATAGCTTTCCCTTGGGCATCGGTACTTTTCCTTCCCTTTTACCTGGACGAACCAGTATTACCGGTAGAAGGTGATCAGGAACACATTGGTGATATATGGTCGAAGACCTTCGTCATACTTTTCTTATGAAAGTAACTGGCTATGATTCTCCTTGATATTTTTTTTCTTTCTTTCTTTCTTTCTTTTTTGGAAATTTTCCAAACGAATTTCATTGGAATTCAACTGTCTCGGCTTGATTAATAATATTGTACAATTTTCTGATTAATTCTTATTTCTAATTTTCCAAATGAATTTCTTTTTGGATATAGCTCTGTCATTTAAATTATTGAAGTAATTAATTTTCACGGAATCTTTTATTTTTATTTATTTTTATTTTTTTTTTTCATTTATCATTAAAAATAATATCATTGAAATCCAATCTATCTCGTCATAATGACTTTGTTAGCAGATAATTACAATTAAATTAAAAAAATAAATAAATAAATAAATAAATAAAATGAAATAAAATAATTAAAGTAAAGTGAATAATTTTGTTTAATAAATAATTTATGTAAAATCATTTGTTATATATATATATATTTTTTTTTTATTTCATTAAAATTATACTGTTGAAATTTAACTTTCGTATTTTTTTTTTTATTTTACAAAATAATTTCGTTGAAATGCAATTGCTTCAGCATAGTCAATTATATTGTACAATTCTTTTGATTTGATCTTTTTTGGATTTATCAATTGAATTTTATTAAAATGCTCCTCTGTTGCCGCGATAATTAATTTTCGCAGAATTTCTCCTTTTATTATTTCATTCCTTTTGAATAAAACTTCACCTTGATATTCAACTATATCGTCGTAATTAATTTTCGATAAGTAATTACAATTAAATTAATAAAAATTAATATGAAATGAAATCTAATAATGAAATTTTATAATCAAAAATAATTTTTTGTTTACATTTTTTTTTTTTTTTTTTTTTTTTTTTAATGAACCGTCGTTGAAGTGTCACATAGTAATAATAAAAAATAATAATAATAAATAAAAAAATAATAATAATAAAAATAATAATAACAAAAAATACATAAATAAAAACGAAACGAAAAGAACAGAAAAGATATAAAAGAAATAAAATATATAAAGAGTAGATTAGTTATGGACATCAAAATTTGGATAAAAATGATTTCATATGTCGCCATAACGCGACGTGTCACAAAACTTCTCGGAGATATTTAAAACCGGTTGCGTTAAAGTCCTTTCTCATGTTGTCATGAAAACCAGTTTAGATGCACGGCTAATCTAATACGACTGGAATCCGTGCAAATATTCCAAGTAAGTAGGGGAGCGAATGATTCATCACGCCCATACTCACGAGTGATAATCTAAAATAATCTCAAACAATACGGGTCGATGTAACACGTTCGTAAAAAATCGATTATGATTTTCTGTATACATAATATATATATATATACTTTTTCTTTTTCTTCTTTTTTCAAACGTCGTTACATCTTACGACATATTCTCGTAATTTATTTCGTTTGCTCATAACATAAACGAAATTACATAAGTGACCATGCGTTCTTTTATTTCTTTTTTTTTCTTTTTATCGTTTCTTTTTTTTTCCCCTTCATCTAAAAATATTTTCCAATAAAACTTTAACGATATTATATAAAAGACCACAAATATTCTTCTTTTTTATTCCTAAGAATATTTATCGATGAAATTTTTTTCCTTGCGCATATCATTATATTAAAAAAAAAAAAAAAACGAGACAATGTTTCGTACAATTTTGCGAACTACTAATGATTTAATTTTAAAAGTAATTTGGAAAAATTTTTTCTCCCACAATTATTGATCTCTCGCTAATATAAAAAGTAATAAATTTTTGTTATAGAATAGTAACTTCATTATAGTCTTATTATAACCTAGTGTGTGTGCGCATATATATATATATAGCATAAGTTATAAGTAACCTTTGTACATATATAATATGTATATGTAATAGTATGTATAGTATTTATATACTACAAAATAGTATAAATAGTAATACATATAATATTTATATATTGCAAAATAATATATGTACTATGGATATACATAATATATAGTACATGATAATTCAATTAAAAAACAAAGGAGATAAACGTGAGCAAAATGCAATAGCGATCATTATATTAGACAAAGCAGCTGATATATTTACAGTGGCAT